GGGAAAGTTGGTGGGCACCTGACTCCCAATTCTTCCTTCTCTAACCAGTGCTGAAGGATCCAGACAGTAATCCCTACAGCCTACTGGACACATCTGAACCAGAGCCTCCAATTGATTCAGAGCCTGGAGAACCGCCCCCAGCAAGTGCCAGGCGGCGCCGCTCCCGCCGCCGGCGCACTGATGAAGACAGGACTATCATGGATGGAGGCCTGGAATCTGATGGGCTTAGCACGACAGAAAATGGCTTGGGTAAGGGGTGTTTAAAAATTAGAGCTGGGCAAGAACTGAGGGATGGGAGTTTGGATGCATAATTTGAATTTTCCCCTGCCCCACAGAAGATGAGTCCAGACCTCAGCGTCGAAATAGGAGCCGCCGCCGCCGTAACCGCGGTAACCGTACTGATGGTTCTGTCAGTGGAGACCGCCAACCAGGTCAGCTAACACTGGGTACCAGCATCTTTTCTTAGAGCTGAGAGAATGGGATGCCTCCTACCCTATGATAACCAGGGATTGCGGTTCATTGGGTATCTAGGGGCTGGATACCTGGGTTCCTTCTGAAACTCTTGGTCCTCTGCCTTCCCCAGTGACTGTGGCTGACTATATCTCCCGAGCAGAGTCTCAGAGCCGCCAGCGGCCAACCCTGGAGCGCACTAAACCCTTAGAGGACTCTCTTTCAGGACAGAAGAAGGTAGGCAAGCAAGATGTAATTTACTCCTCCCCCCTTTTTTGTTCTTTAGGGGCAAGGGACACAAGAAATTTCACAAAGAAATCTCTTGCTAAATGGCAGAGGAGACTATGTCTGATGGAGTTTAGACTATATTTAGAATAGTGGAAAATTTGAAATAAGTTTCCAGGAAAGTTTGGTTCATATTTTATGGGTCCCACTGAGAGTGACTGAGTTCAAGGACCAATCCCTGGGTCACCAGATGCCAGGAGTGCTAGGATGGTAGGGAATGTCATTCCCTGAATTTCTACTGACCACTTTTTCCTCTCCATTTTCTTTCCCACTTTCCCCTCAGGGTGACTCTGTCAGCAAGCTTCCTAAGGGCCCCTCAGAGAATGGGGAGCTCTCTGTTCCCCTGGAGTTGGGTAGTTTGGTGAATGGGGTTTCATAAAACCTCCAGCCTGCATCCCTCCCTTCTCCATCTCGCTTGCTGCCCAACACCATGGCCCTCACAGGCCCGACTGACCTGCGCTGGAGCTGCTCTTATCTAGGGGGGAGGGGGGTGGCACAGAAGCTTGGGTCCCCCCCCAACCTCCAGGAGCTAGTGGAGGGTGTGTAACAGGGTCATACCCACCTCCCTCTTGTCCACCCTACCCCAGGGTGAGGGGAGCCTCTCCTTCCCCATCAGACTGGATGTGCCTTTATCCTCTAAAGCCCCAATCTCTCTCTGAACACCCCCATTCTCCGCCTTTGGTGCGGGGTGCTTCTTGACCCACCCAGATTTGACAGTTCAGGGGGGTTCCCCTGCTATCCCTCCTACCATCCTGTACCCCCGATTTCTGGGGCCTCATCACTGTGGAAGACGGGGATAGTAAGGGTTTAAGTGGGTGGGAGGCATGGGGAAGGTTTTGGAGTAGAACCAGGGGTGTGTATGAAGGGGGTGACAAGGTCCCCCAGGGGAAGGGGGACCAACCTTATCTGGTGGATGAGAAGGCGTATTTATTTTTCACTGTACAGTATTTAAAAAGAGAATTAAAAAATCCAAACGGCTCTCAGGTTCTTGTGTCTTCCTTGTGCCCAGTTTGGTCCAGCTGTTTTCCTAAGACTGATCTGTCCTGGTCCCTGGACCTTGCCTTCTGTTTCTCAGCATCTGGCTCTAGTGTTCCAGAGATGGTCTACTTTGGGAATTCTGGACAGTCTTAAGTTCCCTAGGCCCAGGTACCCTCCTGGTCGAGGAGAGTGGCTTGTGTCTTGCTGCTTCTCTCCTCCCCCCAAGTTTGCTGCTGGAGGGAGCTGGGCCACTCCTGTACCTGAGTCACAGCTGGCTAGGTAGGGCTGCCCAAGCTGGAACTGTTCCTGCTAAGAGCCAAGAGCCAAGACTGGCTGCTTAATCGGATTACCTGAGGCCTGGGGCTTGGGCTGGGTCTTGGGCAGAGTGGGACCTTGATGTCCAGCCCTCATTTCCCGCCCTGGAATCAGACCTTTTTTTTCTTCCAGCATCCATGTCACTGATCTCTCAACCCCAGGGGAGTTGTCCTGGGGTTCCTGGCTCCCTGCCTTCAGACTCTAAAGTTTGAAGATAAAATGTGTGTGGAGAAACCTTTGTTTGGGGGCTGGAGTTGGGAGAGTTTAAGTTTTCTCACCTGGAGTGGTGTTGAATCACCACCCAAGCACCTGCTGGGATGACTCAGGCAACAAGAATGGCCTGCCTCCCTGTAACTGCCCTGACTTCTTGCCCCAGGGGCAGATTGGGTTTTGAGGGGCACTGGGCACAAGAAAAGGGTTTGGGGTGGGTGTGGGGTATTCCAGTTTGTCCTAGCACAATTGACCCTGAGGGCTTTTGATTCGGGTGTTTGCTTCCATTGTGCAAAGGAATTGACTTTAAATTGCCAAAGCTTAAGAAGGGAGGGGAAGACTGCAGAGCTACGGGGGCTGGAAGGCTTGACATCTGGGTCTTGGGTGGGGGAGGGGGCGTGGTGCCCTGAGGGGGTGTTGGGGGCTGGGAAGAGCAGGATCCCTGGGTCTGCCTAGGTGATGCGGGCGCTCTTAAGGAGGCGCGGCCTGCTGGGAGGGAGTGGGGAGGAGTCAGTCGTTAAAAGCTGTTCCCGGGCCTGACTCACCCGCTAAGGCCAGGTGCGAGTGCTGTGGTACCCGGGCCGCGCTGCCCCGCCGGCTGCTACAATACTAGAGTCTGAGCAGGAAGTTTCCGGCCTCCACCAAAGACCGACCAGCCAAAGGTAGGAGCGGGACTGGGTCTGACGCTGCACCGCAGCCAGGAAGGGAGAAAGCAGCCTGCCCTGTACAGACAGGTTTTGCACTCCACTCCTTCAGGGTGCAGGATTGATCCGGTAGGGAGCGGGGCTCCAGAATAAGGACTCTGAACTCGGGGACGAGATATATACTTTCTAAGGACACGAGATTCTCTAGAACGACTCCATACTAGGAAGACACTTCCATTTTAAGGATACCGGGTTTGGAGATAAACGTTTCGCTTTCGAGGAGAGGGCGTGTAGGCGCCCTCTTTAAGGCTTCCCTCCATCCCCATGGCGCTACCCGGCCTCTCACAAGACCGGGCTTGGAGCCTGGAACCTCCCACTCCCACGGCTCCTGCCTCCTCACCCTCGGGCTCCCAGGAGCGGGAGGACGGCGAGAGCCCCGCGGTCTCCGGGGGCCTTCCCTTGGAGAAGGTGAAGCGACCCATGAACGCGTTCATGGTGTGGAGCTCCGCTCAGCGCCGCCAGATGGCGCAGCAAAACCCAAAGATGCACAACTCGGAGATCTCCAAGCGCCTGGGCGCGCAGTGGAAGCTGCTGGGCGAGGACGAGAAGCGGCCATTCGTGGAGGAGGCCAAGCGGCTGCGGGCCCGACACCTTCGCGACTACCCCGATTACAAGTACCGGCCACGGCGCAAGACTAAAAGCGCGGGAGCTGGGCTGCCCCATTTCGGCCAGGGAAGCGGCGGTGTGGCTGTTAGCGGGCCGGTTTGGGGACCAGGATACGTGACCACCCAGGGGAGCAGAGGCTTTGGGTACCAGCCCCCCAACTACTCGACATCCTACTTGCCTCGTGGTTTCAGGTAAGTGGCTGGGAGCGGGGGTGAGGAAGGAGATGCCGAGTCCTCCCTCCCTGAGCCTAGATGGGACGCATACCAGAGGGCCTGGCTGACAAAGGGCCTGAACCCAACAAAGCTGAGGTCACCCCTTTGGGGTTTAGGGACTGCCGTGAAGATTTGGGCAGCACCATTACCAGCACTCCCAGCTCTTTTGGGAGGGTTCTGGTGGCCCAGGGTTTTCCGGGAGGGCTTTCCCATCAACCTGGCAGTGGTGGCCCGGAGTGGGGGCAGACTACAGGCCCCTAGATGTTGACCTTGTTCCAGTTACCTATCTGGATTTCCTGCCATTGCCCTCCTCCACCCCCCACCCCCACCCCCACCCCCCACGGCTCTGAACCGCGGGTCTGCCCGGGAGGGGTGTGCCCTGCCCAGG